TTTACTGGACAGAAACTGTGCAGAGATCAGTGGTCTTGATCTTGGTTTTAGAGAACATCTTCACAAATATTTGCTTTTGAGTTTTTAACATTTTCCACAGACGACAAAATATTCTCATCAAACAACAGAGCTGTTTGAGTCACGTTATGTTTCTGTCTTTCTCCTCAGCTTTACCCAGATCTACAGTGACTGTGACACCAGACAGTGCTGTATTCACTGGAGAGACAGTCAATCTGACGTGTGTGATTGAGTCTGATCACAGTGTCTGGACATATGAGTGGTATAAAGACAGTATAAAGTTACAGTCGTCTGATCGTTACACTGTAAACAGAGACACTCTCACTATCAGAGGAGCTGCTGAGTCTGATCAGGGTCAGTACAGGTGTAGAGGACTCATATATGGAAGATCCGTCTACACATATCCAAGCCCTGTTGTTTCTCTCTCAGTAAAGGGTGAGTTGAATATTATTTGTCTTCAAATCTCTGTCTACCATTTAGGGCTGTGCAATTAATCAAAATTTTGAGTTTGGCCACAAAATGATTATGGAAAAAAAAAAAAAAAAAAATCAACATAACAGGGTACCCCCGGGATCCTGCAAATGAAATTCGCACCTGCAGCGCAAATTATATTTACTTTTAAACGGTTTACAGTAAGATTATGTATTATAATTGAAACATAAAATGAGATCGTAAAATATAATCAACAACGAAAATGTAAATAAAAACGTAAATTAAAAATATAAATGAACATGTCTAGTCTTAGTTCTATCAAAATAGCCAACACTACATCTCTCTATATTTAGACTAAAAGACTGCTTTATTTATTTATTTATTTATTTATTTAAGACTAAATATTTGTACTGAATGTTTGTGCTTTCATTTTAGTTGTCTTTCATTTCTTAAATTCTATTTTCCAAAACGAATCCTCTTTGCACTTAAAAAGTTTACAATAAACCAGGTAAAAAAAATTTAAATGTAAGTTGAGGTGATCGCAAGTTCACAACTGTGAGGTGATGTGCTCTACCGGCAGGATAATCTATATTATTTTGCTGTTTTTCATATGCGCACGTTTAAGATTTGAGATTATAACATTGCCATGATAGTCAAAGAAATCAAAACATTATTTTCACCCCAACGCAATTTAATCGGGCACTGAAGGCTAATAACTTAATTCTTATATTTGCTTTTTGACTTCTCACCATGTATCTTTTCTACAGCATAGTATAATGTAAGAGCATGTCTATTACCAGAAAAACTAAATTAAAATTATATTTTAATTGAACACATCACATCACATACAGTAAGCTACGCCTACAGAACAGTCTGTTTAGCATTGTGAAAAGGCAAAGCTGAATATCTGTGGTTAAAGTGCCACCCAGAGGTCAAATGCTGCTGGCGCATCAAGTACCGCCGTCGCCGCGGCATGAATGGCGGCACAAGGAACACACTGAAATAGTAACATCTGTACATTAACAAATACGAAAACGAAGGAGGTTTTTGCAATAATTTTAGTTAGTTTCAGTTAGTTTTGTATCTACACAATAGTTTCAGTTAGCTCAAGTTTAAAAAAAAAACTTTTTATTTTTATTTTAGTTAACGACAATTATTTTACATTTTAGTTTTTGTAACAAGCTGTCTGTATAAACAATAAGGCAATTAAATTATTGGTGGGGACATTTCAGTAGTTGGTGGATATCTACACCCCTGCAGTAGACTGCTTCAATCTTTCACTCACTTGTACTTGGTGATTTTAGCGAACACCTCAGATACTGTTGGCTGGTTTCTGTTGGTTGTGCACCTTTTTTACCGACGTCATTATAACGACACAGATCACTGCCTATTCACGAGTCCCGCAGAAAAAGTGATTGACAGGTGGTAATTATGTGTGTATCTTGCCTTTATTCATTTACTGTATGATTTGTTTATGGGTAAAACAAAGACCATGCAGGTCAGGTAGTTTAAACGGTAGGCTACAAATAATTAATTCGTTATTAATTAATTAATTATTCATAATCGAAAATCGAATCAAACCGTGACTTTAGAATCAAAAATGTAATTGAATCGAGGATTTGGAGGATCGTGACACCCTTAATAAACACACACACACACACACACACACATAGACACAACGCACCAAGCAAGTAAAACACAGCATTACGCTCTCTCTCATTCACACATATAAACACACACACACACACATACATACACGTGTGCGCACTTGCTCGCTCAGGAGCGATTTGAACTTTATGTACTTTTGTATGAACTTTAATCCTAGGAAAGGCAAAAATAAATAAATAAAATAAGACCTTTGTAACAAAATCCAAGACTTTGTATACCAAATTCAAGGCTATTAAGGCCCTAATTTGAGATTATCAAATTTAAGACTTTTTCAATGCTTTTAAGATCCCGCGGGTACTCTGCATAAAGGTTTGTATAATATCCTACCCCAGGAACTCAGACATGTAAGGTCCTCTTTTAGCTTAAAGGGTCACGAAACACCAAAACACATGTTCTGAGCTGTTGACAGTGGTATATGTGTCCCACACTGCTAAAAACACTATTAGGACACATATATCTCACTAAAAAGTGAAAATTGGTTGTTTTTGCGTTATTTCGAGCAAATTCGTACTTCCTGTATAAAACAAATTTTTGAAGCTGCGTCACGGCCATGAGATCTTAGCGTGTGTTCCAGCATGTAGACTGGACATCTGTACCTGAGTGTTCAGAATTACAACTCTGAGTGTGTTGCATTCATTCATGAGTATGGCTTGGTTCAAACCAATCAGGACGCTCCATTATGTATGTGCTGCAACTTCACGCCTCACGTCATGTTGTCAAAAAGAGCGGGAAAAGAATAAGAATTGTTTGGAGATACGGGTCGCCAGTGTTGCTTTCATAATGTGAAGGTTTTGTTTCTATTTCTCTCTATGAGAGTGTTGCTGGAATCGTGTGGATCAGAGCACGCGGCGCGCGGCTGAAATGCGTTTGTTTGGAACATTTTTTACTCGAGAGCATTTCTCATCTATTGTGAGATCCGGATTTGCTGCTCGTCTCCTTTAAAAAAGACGCAGCTCCAGTACGTGTTGATTATTCTCACTACAGATTCGGTAAGTGTGTGCAATCAGTGCCCTTTCTTTGTTCATTCAGATGGCAAAGTTATAGTTGGTATGGTCAGCTGTACTCTTTCAGTGTTTAAAGACAGACGTTAGTCAAACTGATTTCTAAGTTACTTAGTTTACAGTATGTTAATATCACTACAATATTGAAAGATCCGCTGTAAATGCTGCTCTCTGTGTGTAAACACGTGAACACTGTAAGCAAACTTTTGCCGTCGTGTTGAATTTTCGCAGCATTTTGTGACAGGATTATCGACACACACACGGCTTTCTGACCAACTGAGTGTATCTGAGTTACAGAGAAATGCAGAGGCTTCTTCTCTTATACGACGTGCAGTGTCAAACATTTCACCATCAATAAACACTGTCTCTCTCTCCCCTGCGTGTGTGTCTGTTTTTCCTCTGTCAGCAGCACGTGCCCAAATGGCAACTCCCATTTTTATTCAAACCCTGCCCATTTTACCTCCCCCGACACTCCCACCCAAACAGAGCTAGACACACCCACTTTCCTGACTTTTTCCAAACTTGCGTTGGTTTCATACTGATTACTTTATCAAGCAATGTTTGTTTTCAACATGCATAGCTGCATTTAAAAGTAGACACTTCAAGCTTTCTAGAGATACACATCTCATCTCTGTGCGTTTTGTTTTCCTTGTCGTGCAGTGAGGGGTTTGTGTCTTTAATAAACTACGACAGTTCGCGTTCACTGAACAGTAAGACTGATTAATAAATCAATATGAAACAGCCCCCTAAAGTCACGTCTTGCTTTCAGTTTCGGGCTTTGGCGCGTTTTGCACTCACACACAAGCGTACCGCGCCAAAGCCCCAGTGAACCGCGCTCAGGCCCACCTCTTCCAACCAGGCCAGAGCCGGCCAAGTGAACCGTGCTTGAGCCCGATTCAGAGCACTCACACTTCTCAAACGATCCGGGAAACGGGCCTGGGCACGGTACGGATGGCATAGTGTGAGTACGTCCTTAGTAATGAAGTGACTTACAGACGCTGCTGTTGAATGAGTTGCTGAAGTCTTCAGTCTGTTGAAGCTCATTCAGATTCAGCTGCTCCTCATATCAGCTTGTAGTTGGAGGTCTTCAGCTCTCCTTCTTCATTCTGCTTTCTGTGGAGAGTCAGAGGTGTTTGAGAACCAGAAAACACTGACAGGACAAAACTAATGACAATAACAGAGAACATATTATAAGATAAAATAACACACAAACTACACTATTGTGAAGAATTTATTAAATACATTTGTCATCACTCATAGAGCTGTTTGAGTCACTTTATGTTTTTGTCTTTCTCCTCAGCTTTACCCACACCTACAGTGACTGTGACACCAGACAGTGCTGTATTCACTGGAGAGACAGTCAAGCTGAAGTGTGTGATTGAGTCTGATCACAGTGACTGGACATATGAGTGGTATAAAGGCACATACTCATTCTATGTAAAGTTACAATGGTCTGCTGGTGTAAACAGAGACACTCTCACTATCAGAGGAGCTGATGAGTCTGATCAGGGTCAGTACCGGTGTAAAGGACAGAGATCTGGAAGACCAAACTCATCACAATCAAGCTCTGCTGTTTCTCTCTCAGTGACGGGTGAGTTCAATATTATTATCATTGTAAAACTGTGGTTTTACTTCATAATACTGCACTTCAATACAACTCAAGCATTTTATTTCCAGGATTATTCTTTCATTCATTTTCTTGTCGGCTTAGTCCCTTTATTAATCTGGGGTCGCCACAGCAGAATGAACCGCCAACTTATCAAGCAAGTCTTTACGCAGCGGATGCCCTTCCAGCCACAACCCATCTCTGGGAAACATCCACACACACACACACACACACACACACCGGACAATTTAGCTTACCCAGTTCACCTGTACCGCATGTCTTTGGACCTGGAGGTAACCCACGTGAATAAAGGGAGAACATGCAAACTCTACACAGAAAAGCCAACTGAGCCGAGGCTCGAACCAGCGACCCAACGACCTTCTTGCTGTGAGGCGAACGTGCTACCCACTGCGCCATTGCATTGCCAATTCCAGGATTAGTGTGCAGTAATTAGTTTAACATATTCTGTTTATTTTTACACACTTGCTGTAGCAATGCTGGATTAGATGTAGAAGCTTTATCACACTCTATAACTAAATATGTTGCACATATTGCAGTTAAATTGTATTAAATTACAACTAATTCATTTAATATGAATGTCACTACTGAAGGATAATCCACTGAACAGCAGCTCCACAACACAAACAAATGAAATTGTACTGCCTAAAATATTCATCTTTCAACTACCCACTACCAACTGACCCAGCCGAGGATCGAACCAGCAACCTTCTTGTTGTGAGGTGAACGTGCTACCCACTGCGCCACCGTGTTGCTACGTTATTTTGACACAACTGAATTTTTTTAATCATCGCAAACTCCGCTAGACTAGATATTTTGCAGCACATTTCTGTTTTCATCAATATTTTGTGTGTATTAATGCAGAGAGACCAAAGCCTGTAGTGAAGGTGAGTCCAGCTAAGCGAGTGTTCACTGGAGAGACAGTCACTCTCACATGTGACATACAGACAGGAGGAAACATTCAGTGGATCAAATACAGCTGGATTAAAGATGGAGACACTCACAATCCACACAGAACAACATCAGCAGCAGAGTTGAGATTCAGAGCTGATTCTGTGTCTGTCAGTGGTCGATACAGCTGTAGAGGAGAGAGATCAGACTCACAGAGATCAGACATCAGTGCTGCTGTTAAACTGACTGTATCAGGTGAGGCTTCACATTCACATCTAGATTCTAGACCAGATTGTTCTTATTAGAAATCTGAAGTGATTCACATTCAGTCGATATTCAGATCCAGAACTGCATATAAATGGGGAAAGTGAAGCTCTCAGCCAAGTTTACAATACTTTGTACATTGATTTTTACTTTAATGAAAATTATTAAACAAACTTGATTTTTAAGAAAAAGGCATGCTTTACTATAGCTTTTTTAGCTAGGGCACTGCCATCTTGGAATATTGCTGTGTCTGACGTCCACATTTTGAGAATCTGAATCTGTTCTTCTGCAGATTTAAAACCAAAGCCTGAACTCAGATCAGATACTGCAGGAACTGCACTGACTGGAAACACAGTGACTTTGACCTGTAACACTGATCTGTCGACCGGATGGGACTTTTACTGGTACAAAAACACACAAGACTCTGAGATAAAGACGACAAGAAAAGCTAAAACATATGTAATGAAGATTAAATCAGTGTCTGATGGAGGCCAGTACTGGTGTAGAGCTGGAAGAGGAAAACCAGTCTATTACACACAATACAGTGATGAACTGACACTCAGTGTTACAGGTGAGAGAAAACAGTGTGTGATTCAGTATAATTGTATATCTACAGCACTTCTACAACTCTACATCAAGAATAAAACTATTAATCTATGTTTGTACAGAGAGTCCTAAAGCTGTGGTGACGGTGCGGCCTGATAAACATGTGTTCAGAGGAGAAACAGTCACTCTCAGATGTGAGATAAAGTGGAGAGGAAACACTGAGTGGACATACAGATGGCAAATAGAGCAAACAGACCACTATAACAAATATTATAACCAGTATAATCAACATAAAAACACTGTGAGCCGAAGCTCAGCACAAGAGTTGAAGATCAGCCGTGTTGAGGTCTTTCACCGTGGTAAATACAGCTGTACAGGACAGATGGACACTCAGATCTCTCAGCGCAGTGATGCTGTTGCTCTGACTGTGTTTTCAGGTGAGTGTGTGTGTGTGTGTGTGTGTGTGTGTGTGTTCAGTATTATCAGAGTCTGTATCTGCTCCTCTATGGCTCTGTAACTCCTCATGTTTGGTTCAGATGAAGCTCAGGCAGCAGTGCGAGTGTCTCCACAGCCGTGGCTCACTGAAGGACACTCGGTGACTCTGATCTGTGAGGTTCCAGGCTCCTCTACAGGCTGGACGTTCAGCTGGTTCAGAGATGCTGATCATCTGTCAGACAGCAGCAGAGGAGCTGGAGGCTCTTACACTCTCAGTCCTGCTGCTCTACAGCACACAGGAGTTTATACGTGCAGAGCAGAGAGAGGAGAACCAGCCTATTCCTCACAGAACAGCAGCGCACAGCCACTGTGGGTCACTGGTGAGGGAAATCAGCTTTCAGCAGCTGTCAGAGCTGTTGTTGATCTCCAATGTGCCAGTAGGTTTATGTCAGTGACAGCAGCAGTATATTTGTCTGCGTTTGCTCTCTGTCTCAGGTGTTTCTGCTTCAGTGCGTCTGGTGCTCAGGCCCAGCAGAAGTCAACACTTCTCCTCTGACTCTCTCTCTCTGAGCTGTGACTCTGCTGGATGGACAGTGAGAAGATACACACACACAAACACACAAGATTGTTCAGCACAAACAGGATCTACATGTGGAATCCAGTCTCTCAGCACATCTGACACTGGAGTTTACTGGTGTGAGTCTGAATCTGGAGAGAAACGCCATCCTCTGAACATCACTGTACATGGTGAGTCCTGTTACTAAGATCACAGCATCTACACACGCTCACGCCTCAATTACACACAGACACAGTTTCTGCATATTAACTCATTGTTTTATGAAAATACAATCAGACTGACTTGATTAACCTGATTACTATATTTCATTGGTTAAAATCTGACTACAATTAATATCAATTCATAATCGCTTTACGTTTGACAATTTAGTGGTTAAATCATATGTAGTCAAATGAGGCTTGATAATGTTATAAATTAATGAAACTGAAGATATGAACAGTTTAGTCAGATATTGAGACTCAACAGATGTGTGTTGTGTTGTGTTGTGTTGTGTTGTGTTGTGTTGTGTAGATGGTGATGTGATTCTGGAGAGTTCTGCTGATCCTGTGATTGAGGGAGAAACTCTGACTCTACACTGTTTACATCGATCTACAATCTCCTCCATCCTCACAGCTGATTTCTATAAAGACGGATCACTGATCCAGAATCAGACAGGAGAGATGAGCATCCCTACTGTCTCAAAGTCTGATGAGGGTTTCTACTACTGTAAAACAAAGAGCGGAGAGTCGCCGCACAGCTGGATCTCAGTCAGAGGTCTGAGAATAATGAGAGATTATTTACCTCTGTAATATTATCACACAGCATGTGCTTTATGAACTGGTCTGGCATCCTCTCTCTTCAGCTTCATCTTCATCTTCATCTCCTCTTGTCATTGGTGTTTCTGTGGGATTGACTGTTTTCTTGCTGCTCCTCATCTTACTGGTTCTGCTGCTGAGACACAAGAAGAAAAGAGGTGTGAGGAGTTCAGCACATGATCAATAATATGAAAGCATGTAATCAGATATATGCAAGTGAAAATTCATTAATAATGAGATTATTTTCTACTGTAGATCAGGACCACAACATTCAACAAACCAACAAACCAGTTCCAACTCAATCTGGAGAATCTCAACTGGAAAACTTTCCTCTACAGTCAGGTCAGCTTCATTAACAAATATATATATATATATTTTTTAATTGTTTTTGTTCACACAACATATGTCAATTTGATCTAATATTGTTTAAACTGTGACCTTTACTCTTTTGACCAGTTTCTTTATTTATATTAATTATTATCAACATGTCATTTATTCATGTTTGTTTTAGAGCCTGTGTCAGATGTGACATATTCAGAGGTCGTTGTTAAGAAAAAGCAACCCATGGATAAAGGTGAAAATCCTCTTCTGTACACATGGAGTCATCAGTCATGAACCAATAACACTGATGAGGAATTAAACTAAACTTACACATCATCCACTAATTAATTCCTTATTATTTCTGCAGGGGACACTGTCTCAGAGTCAACTAATGTGACATACTCAGAAGTCAGGAAAAACATGAAGAAAGGTGATGTCCTGTTTAGTTTTTTCTGAAGTATAATAATTGCAGCATGTTCTGAATATCCTGCTTGATTTTCTGTGTCAGATATTAATTCTGCAGGACCCAGTGATTTGATTTATACAGAGATCAACATGAAGGACGAAAAGAAAACCAAGAGCAAAGGTAAAACGCACTGCATCTAGTCTTGATGATTTGTGTTTACTGATGTTATGATTTAATTTAATATTAAGAAACACTTTATAATCACTAACAGCACTGACAGACACAAATCACACTTTATTCTGCAAATACAATTACAGCGATAACAGAACAGCATCTGTGTGGGATTTAATGATTAATAATCAAGTTCTTGTTTTTCTATTTCAGGATTTGGACTTGCTGATGTTCTGATGAAAATGAAATCTAAGGAGAAACGCAGCGGTAAATAGCAGACGCTCTGATGTGCTGTCATCAGCTGACTGCAGATCATGTCAAAATGCTTTTAAAGTGAAACATTTTGATATTGATTAGACCAAAATATAAAATGAAAAACTTAAATACATTTCTAAAAGAATCACCAGCATGTCTTATTTCTGAAAAAAAGTCTATCTTATATTTGGTTTTTATTGCAGTTTGAAGCTCAGCTACAGTTAACTCAATATTGAGAGTCATGGTAAAGGCTGTAAATACTCATGTACAATATGTGATTTAGTAAACTTGCAAAGAGGTCAAACAAACGTCTTTCACATTACTATGATGGGGTGTTGTGTGTGGAATCTGTAGAAAAATAATTCAATCTATTCTGGAATAAAGAACATCATAAAATGTGGAAAACAAAACTGAAGCACTGAATTCTGTCTGGATGCTCTTTATTAATTCATTCTCTGTCTGTTTTTCACTATCAGGGCAGAGCAGCGAGTCTGGAGACACTTTATACTCTGAAGTGAAGCAAAACACAGGCAGAGGTGAGAGAAACACACAGAACTGCTGCTATTGATGATAACTAGGCCAGATTTCTAGCCTATCATTGAGTGTTTATTAACTTGAGTAAATGTGTGTAAATCTATATTTATTCAGTTATTAAATTAATTACAGTAATGTTATTGACCACTATGAAAATATCCATATGACTTCTTTATATTACAGTTTGTACAGTAATATTTTCTGTCTTTTAGTAGAGATATTATATGAGAGACTTGCTTTGTTTACTACATAAAGTGCATCTAATTGGATCTGCATTGTAAACATTAAATAAAAGTTAAAAAGGTATCACTTTTTATTTCATATACAGTTATTAAGGTTTTAGTTGTGAAACTCCCAAAATAATTTAGCATAAATTCGCAGATTTTTAACTCAATTCTGCCCAGAAACAGCAAAACATGTCTTATAAAACAGATTAACCATTAACAGAAAGGGTGTTTTTAACTGATTAATGGTATCAATTAAATGACTAAAAAGTATTATTTTTGTTTGGCTGTATAAGAGGCCGATCACAGCGAACAGGCTTTTTGCCCTGAGAGTGGATTCTTCTGGATGGTTGACCAAAGGCCATGAGTGTTTTGCGCACTGATTATGCGCCCTGTGTGCCTCGTGCTTTTGCTGAGTGCTCGCAGTCTAAATAAGTCAACAAACATTCTCCAATCAAATGAAAGCAGGGGCGGGGTTTCCGTTGAGGTGACAGCAGTGTTTGTGTTGTCAAGAAGAATATGGAGATTGTTTAGAGAGTTATTAGTGAGGATCAGTGGTTAATCCTGAGTGTAAAACTGTAAATAATCAGTGTTGTTGGCATTAACTGCATTAATCTGCATGATCTATTTAAAGGTCTCTGAGTGCAGTGATGAAAACAGACACCAGAAGAGATGAACACCAGCGCTCGCTTTGCTTCAGAAACTGCTCATGACAATAATACACTGAATTATCAGAGACGCAGATTAGCAAATACATTTGTCTCTAACATTTATACATTTTCTACAGGCAGCACTCAACTCAGCTTCTCGAACACTTCCCAGTATTACAATGTTCTAAATAGTGTCTTTGAGGATTTTGTTGAGATATACTGTATATAAATAAATGTTTGTAGTTTCTCACACATTAATATATTTTGATATGCTGTTTTTTTTCCTGTAAGAGATTTCTCTCTGATAAATATAAACATTTATGATATTGTTTGAATGACCTCTTTAACGTTGCAAAAAAAGTAAATGCTTTTAATCTTTGTTTTTACGATCATAATAAAGCATGTTTTGGGCAGATTAGGTCATGTCTCGGGTGTTTCTCTGTGTATTTTCTGATTCTCTTTTACTGCAAATCAAAAGTAAAATACACTGAGAATAAACTGATGGTGAGCATTAATTCTTTAAAGGCTTCACCTGACTCAGTATATTATAAAATCAGTGAACAAGCTTTCATCATTTGAAGAAATGTTAAAAATAATATAATATAATTCATAATTGTATTATCAGTGGTTTGTTAATGACATTATTAATTCATTAAAAACTAAATTTAAAGTAAATAGTAAAAAAAGATAAACAAATCTAAATTAATTACCTAAAAATTCATAAAATATAATAGGAATCATTTTTGATTTAATCATAGAAGCAAACAACCTTTCAAAATTATATTTGGCTTAATTCAGGGTTTTTCAAAGTCTAAGACAGTGGGCCTCCCTTTTGACAACTTATCCATTGGCGCCCCCCTCCTCCTGAACACGCACACACGCACGCACACACAAAATTCTGGAGGTTTTCCTGCTACCTCATCATCAAGTTTAGCGGATCTCATGCTGTCATTAGCCAAAATAACTTGACAAACCACACATAAAGGTCGTGGTTCATCAGCTGGTCCTGTCCACGTAAATCCTAAACTCAAATACTGATCATCATATTGTCGTCTTTTGGGTTTAAGCCCTGAACTTGAAGGCTTTGAATCGGGGGGTGTCAGAAACCGATCCATTGTATTAGCAGCATGATTAGCAGGCATATACCTGTATTGGCAGGCTTTCCAAACAGAAGCGAATTCACAGCTATGGCCTTCTGGGTAAAAAAGGTTTTCTTATTTTTGACGTATTATTTTTTTAGCTTTGTTTAATTAAAACGTTTAAAAATAATAAAAAATACATATAATAATTTAAGTGAATAATTATATTGTTATTATATAATATTTTTCCCGCGCCTCCCTGTACATGCTCTGGCGCCCCCCAGGGGAGGCGCGCTTCACACTTTGAAAACCCCTGGCTTAATTCAATCTCCTCTGCTAATATACAGTAGATGGCCATTCTGCCTCTAGATAAGAAAACATTTACCAACTGACATTCACGTTTTAGTTTTGTTACATTCGAAACCCAACATAAATGTAGGAGATGGAGGAAGATCAAACATATTTCATTGTTCATAAACTTTTTAAGCAGCTCTCGCAAACCCAAAACTCCCCCACCGGGAGGTGATAAGAGCTCACACTCAGGTTAGAGTTACCATGCAAACCATCTTGATAGCCAAGCCTCAAAGTCTTTCACACTCACACATGGACAGAACTGGGCATGGGGCGATAACCGTTTTCACGGTATACAGTTTATTTAACGGCACAAATCAAACACAAACAAATGACACCAGTTTTGTGTGATTTAGAGGAAATAATGGGGTGGAGAGTGACGTCACAGCTCACGAAGTGTTTTGATTAGGCAATATCTAAACGATAAAAATAGATAGTCTCTATTTTAACGGCACAAAAAAGCACAAAGGAGTGACATCAGTTTTGTGCAATTTAGACAACCTGGAGTGGAGAGTGACGTCACGACTCCCGAAATGTTTTTATTAGGCATTATCTAAACAATAAAGATAGATAAAGGGCTCTATTTTGAAGATCTAAGCACAAAGTGAAAAGCGCAAGCCGCAAAAGCATTAGGTGCATGTCAGAATCCAGTTTTGCTATTTTAAGGACGGAAAATCTACTCTATGCTGTGGCACATGGTCTAACAGTGTTGAGCTTATTCTCTTAATGAGTTATAGGTGTGTTTTGAAAATAAACCAATCAGAGTCTCATCTCCCATTCACTTTAAGAGTCAGTTGCAACGTGCCATAGCGCATTTGCCTTTTTACATGACGACTTTGTAAGTGGAAAAACTGAACGCTTCACTAGAGAGAAAACAGTTAAACAGAGCATCTGTAGCACCGAGAATGAGAAAATGAGCCTCCTCATTCTTTACTTTCACTCTAACTCTTGTGGATAGGGAAACGCGTTGAACGCATAGACAACCATTAGCCTATAAATAATTAATTTGGTTTGTTAAGCGCAGATTTGTGACACAACTATTTCTAAATTCAGTTCTAATTTCCAGCAAACGAATAAATGAACAATAATAACGAAGTGTGCTCAAAAACCTGAGTTATATCCAAATACACATGCTATGCGTCATATGGTCTAATACCTGACAGGTGGACAAATCTAAGCTTGTTTTTAATAAAACAAATATAAATATGCATATAATAAATAATACTGCTAATAATAATAACATTATACTAAAGCAAATTGTCACAAATAAACTGAAAAAGCCCTCCGAGATAAAGAAGGCATGGAGGTGAGGGTTTTTATATATTTATGTAGGCTAGAAAATAATAATTTTTGTAATATCCTCATTGCGTCGGGCGTATGATAGGGCCCAAAGTCTTTATTTTAACGGCACAAACAGCACAAATCCAGCACAAACAAATGACACCAGTTTTGTGTAATTTAAACAACCTGGGGTCCGTTCTTCGTACCTCGCTTAAATGATCTAAGATGATTTGGCAGATCTTTAAATCTTGATAACTGATCTCTCGCTAATTTGGTTCTTCAAACTAGTTCGCGAATCAGATTAGAAAGCCTGGATAAACTGATCTGAGATCACTGCTTGTGTTGTGAAGGAGAGATCTATCGATCCTCGAAATCATGATCAGCAATGCAACGATTGGCTGACGGCACAGCTGCGTAATGACATCATCTGATTAATATTCCATTATTCATGTGAGCAAAATTACATCAAATTAGCAGTAAACGGTTCGTTAAATATGACACGCAATAACCTTCCACATTTGTTGTGAGCTGCAGGCTTTCTACTTTCATGTGTCAAGAGTATTCATCATGTATTTCAATGCATATCAATGTATTTAGTTCTACATTTAGAAAAGATTTTCTTTATTATAGTAGCCGTTTTTTAATCTGTGTAAAGAATAACTGGTTGTTTACAAAAGCATTTTGATATTGGTAAAGACGTCTGCAACTTTTGTGAAGCATCAAATGACCGGCATATTAACTATCAAAACATGTTTATGACTGCTGAAATGTATTATTGCTTTAAAAAAAAGTCACATATTGTGCATTTCTATTATACACAATTTGTACTAAAGCGATCTAATCTAAACGTTCATATCAATAAGTTTTCTCTTTGCACCACCAGGTGGCAGTCTTTGTACTTTCATTTCGAGGGTGCAGATAGCATACGTTTTATTAATATGTATAACTTTATTTATTTTATTAATAACTATAACTTTATATATATAGTTAAAAAATATGTACCATTTTCACAAGTGTATATAACTACTACTGTAAGAAAATATCAGAATTGGGAACATACTCTCTGTATTATCTTTGCTTGAACTAAGCCGATCTAATCCTGTTTATATGAATTGAACCTGCTCCTGATCAGGTTTGACCTAGCAGATCTGTTGCTATGACAACAACTCTCAGATCAGCTTTGAAGAACGAAACGATCCTGTATCGTGTCAAAACGTCAATATCCAAATCCAGCTAACTGAGTAATCCACGTACGAAGAACGGACCCCTGGGGTGGAGAGTGACGTCACAGCAATTTTGATAAGGCAATATCTAAACAATAAACATTTATACAGTGTTTATTTTAACGGCACAAACCAGCACAAATCAAGCACAAATGAATGATACCAGTTTTGTGCGATTTAGAGGAAATGGGGTGAAGAGTGACGTCACGGCTCCTAAAATATTTTGTTTATATCTAAAAGAGGAAAACATCTAGACTGTTTATTTTAACGGCACAAACCAGCACAAATGACCTGGGCTGATTTAAAGTCATTTGAGGAACATGGGTGGAAAGTGACGTCACACGGTCAGAAAAATAATGCTTAATATCTCAGACTCCAAACCAGCACAAACGTTTGTTTTTACAGCACAAATCAGCACAAACGAATGGCATAGTTTTGGGGATTATTTGTTTTTAATGGGGTGCCAACTTGACAGAGGTGCTGCACGAGATCTTGAGATAGAGGGAGATGGGAATGGCTGCTAGAGTTCCTTCTATGACCTCACACAATTTACTTAGTCAATAAATAAATACAAATATTTTGAAGGTTTTGTCCGTGTGTGTGTGTGTGTGTGTGTGTGTGTACTTGATTTTGAATTAGTGCAAAGCGGTTAGTAAGAAACCATCACTTACATCACAAGAAGCACCATCATTTTTTTTTTCACTTTACCATACATTAAGAATCAACTATGAGCCTTCCTGCTTCGTCAACCTCACAGTCACGTAGGCATGGCAGCCTGGGCACTGCACTGGACTGATCCATGCCACACGTTACACTTTTTTTTAATGCATCACAAAGCAACTGACAAACACTATATACCTCAATGCCCATCATACAACTTCAACCTCCTCAATTTATTGTTACAGCTGTTGTTGTTTTTATTATTATCATTATTATTAGTATTATTATTATTACCAGCATGAGTATATTATAGTTATCAAGTTAATAATCCATCATACATATCTTTAATATTATTCTTCCATGTGGGTTTGTATAATTCATAATTAGCATTGATATAGTGTTTTTATTTTATTATTAGTCATTTATTTGCTTATTCTCATTGCTTTGTTTGCTGAAATTTATTTTTTTTTCACTCTTTTTGCTTCTTTTCTTTTGCTTCTACTCCTCCCCTTCCTTTTCTGTTTTTTTTCTTTTTATTTATAATTTTTTTTTATTATTATTATTTTATTAATTTTTGTTTATTATTATTAGTTTTTTCTCTTTTACTCTCTTTCCCCTTCTACTTACTACTTTTATTATTCTTATTAATTATTATTATTACTTGTCCTCTCCCTGATTTCCCATCCTCCCCTCTCCTCGACACCTTTGTCATAAATGGTATTACTTTTACTTTTTGTTATCATTATTATTATTACTGTTCTGACTTGTCCTGTTATCTTTCCATTATCATTATTACGGTTTCAGTTGTAGTTGTAACGGTAGTAGTTGTAGTAGTAGTAGTTGAAGTAGTAGTCATTGTAATAGTATCGATTGTTATTGAGTAATTGTTACGGAGATTATTGAAGCAGTAGTTCATGTAGTAGTAGATGTCATTGGTATAGTAGTAGCAGAAGTAGTAATGGTGTGGTTGTTACAGTAGTAGTAGTAGTCGTTGTTGGTGTAGTAATATCAGTAGTAGATGTTGTTGATGTAGATGTAGTAGAAGTGATTGTGTTAGTAGTAGTAGTAGCAGTAGACGATGTTGTATTAGTTGTAGCAAACGCTATAGTAGTATCAGTAGTGGTAGACGTTGTAGTAGTATCAGTATTAGTAGACATTGTAGTAGTAATAGTAGTGGTTGTGGCTGTAGCAGAAGCAGTAGTAGTTGTCATATAAGTAACTTTCTGTAGTAGTAGTTGGTGTAGCACTTGTGATTTATTATTATTACTGTCAGTTATCATTACTGTTGTCCTTTCTTTCTTTTTACTTTCATTTTTACTATCATACATTAATAAGCATTGTTGTTACTCCCTACCTCTGACTGGTTTCTTTCTATATGTTTTATCTATATCTGTGACACTTGCTTCATTTATTGACTATTATTGTTCCTTATGTATGTACTCTGACCTGTCCACCAAGTTACCTTTACATGCATACACACACTCACGCACATACCAGTACCTGACTGTATTGTTGTTGTTTTTGTTTTGTTGCTTTGTATTTGTTATTTGTTGATGTTTTCTTGTATTTGTATGATTTTTGCATATTCTAATAAAAAAATTAAAAAAAACTCACAGTCACATCTGTCCCTTAGGTTACACCAATGCAATGCAAGAATAACATTCGGGAGGTCTGCAACATCTCTGCATTTCCCTGAATACAGTATCTATTCCCAACTGATATTAAAAGCGGAATTTGTCACTTGTCAGTCATTCTGCACTCCTCTGGCGGCTAGACCAAAACATACTTCCTCTTTCTGCAAGCCTTCTCTATTAGAACTGAACAGGTTTTTGGGCCCGATCGGACATTCAGCTCTTGGAGACTTTCGGCACATTTCACTTCCCTGCTCAACACAAAGACTTACTCAAGAAGTGAAAGTTATTTTTGATGTCACGGCGCCTTTAGCCTCAGTAAGCTGTGTCTCCTTGTGCAATCATGCTTAAATAGTATATCACACTTAGAGAAGTTTGGTTCATCTATCTCTATGCAAGACATATATTTAATGAACAGTAAAAGAGACAAAAGTCATAAAAAATGAACTCCTTTTTTCCCAACACTATAAAGACGAATCACTGATCCTGAATCAGACGACAGGAGAGATGAGCAACCCTACTGTCTCAAAGTCTGGCTGTCGCCACTGGCTTGCATCGTTTGGGACCCGTAGAGCTGCGCATCGATGGATTTGCTCTTCAGTGTTTGGACTTTCAGTATTGAATATTAAACAACACTGAACAGAGATAAACTGAACTTAAACTCTGAAAACTGAACTGACACTGTTTTAATTTCCTATCATATTCTATGTGAAGCTGCTTTGACACAATCTACATTGTAAAAGCGCTAGAGAAATAAAGGTGAATGAAAAAAAATTATTGAATAATAAAATGGAATTTTATCTCTATATGTATTTTGTGTATCTCTATATGTATTATATGTACTTATGTATTTTACAGACATGAAACATGAAACAAAGTGACTCAGACGTGCCAGGGACAAGGTATGAAGACTGCATGTAGTCTGCATACCTGTAGTGCATGTAGTGGCAAGATAAGAGATGCAAAAATGTATACATGTTCAAATTTTGCAACTACTTAAACCTGCTTAATTTCTCTATTAAGCGCTTTTTTGTTTACTTGTGTTTCACAGGCAGCTTGAAAAAAAAGCCCTTACAAGTCAAAGAAGCTGAAAAGGCCATGTCTAAGTGACTCAATTTCAGGAATAGGGAAGGAAAATAGACTGCGAGGGCATGTGGTGGAGCAAGATTGAAAAGATTTTTTAAAAAATAAATAAATCTATACATGTAGATATTACTATGTGTATTCTACATCAGTGGTTCTCAACTATATTGCTGGATCTCTTTTAATGACACCCACTTCAGGTGCCATTTGCATAAACTACATAGACTAGTCTTAAAAACTAGTCATTGTTAAAGTTATTGTTGTTTCTTTTTCTTTCAAGTAAAAGAGTTTTTTCTGGGAAAAAAATGTTAAATTCAGTTACATGAAAAAGTAGAATAGCCTCATTGGACAAACTAATTGGATTATGTACTATTAAGCCCATGACATAAATCAAGTGTGTTTGATTATAGAGACAGTCAAAATTTGCAGTTTTGGGGGGCTTCAAGAATGTTCCTGAGAACTGCTGGTTAACAAATGTAATGTGAGGTACTAAAGGCTAACCTAATATGTTATGATATATATATATATATATATATATTTAGGGTGTCACGATCCTCCAAATCCTCGATTCGATTACGTTTGATTCTAAAGGCACGATTCGATTCGATTATGAATAATTAATTAATTAATGACCAATTAATTATTAGTAGCCTACCGTTTAAACTACCTGACCTGCATGGTCTTTGTTTTACCCATAAACAAATCATACAGTAAATGAATAAAGGCAAGATACACACATAATTACCACCTGTCAATCACTTTTTCTGCGGGACTTTTGAATAGGCAGTGATCTGTGTCGTTATAATGACTAAGTACAAGTGAGTGAAAGATTGAAGCAGTCTACTGATCCTCTGACTGCCTGAACCTGCTGTCTCGAGCGGCTGTGTGTGTGCGTCTGTGTCTGTGTGTCAGAGGTAGAGAGGAAGGAGGGCTGCTCAGAAATGCTATTCGCCACTGTGGATGTCAAATCGTTGTCGTTCTAAAATGCCATTTAAAAACAAAGACAGTGTAAACAGGGTCTGAGTGTGTACTTTTCGCGAGTGGATTTGCAACGGGAGCGGGCGGAGGATCGCTATGCCGGTGTTGTCTATCGGACGAACTGTACGTAATACGTACATAGCAGAGCTTGCAAAACTCTGTTTTTTTTTGTCGACAACACGAACGTTGTCAACATAACTCACTGGAAATCCAAAATGCTTACACACCGGCGACTTCATTGAAAGAGGAGAGGGTTTAAGCTCTGTCGATTCCAAATAGAAATAGGCTATTGTTTGTTTTTTGTGCTGTGTTAATTACAACTTTATACGCACCGCTCTGGAGGACCGGACCCAAAAAATGCCAGGCAAGCGAGAAACCCAGCTCGACCGTCTGCCGCTGCGTGTACACACTCTGGACCGGGAGAATGCTCTCGTTCGCTCGGAATCGCTGGATCACAGCAGGAGGAACCCTCATCGACTCGATCAGAAAGTCTCTGAAGCGAAAAGGATAACGAATGCTAGCTCCACCTGTGCTTATATGCGGAGTTAATTGGCAACGAAGCACACGTGCGCAAGCTTACGCTGCTAATTCATTGGCATTCATTGGCCCGTTCCATACTCTTTCAGACAAGTGGCTTCTGAACCGAATCCTCCCATACGTGGATTTTCTAAAATCAAATCAACTTATAACACTGGAGTTCCCCACCCGAAGGGGAACCGAATTCCGCAGACTATAATCGTACAATTAAAATCTATAGTTGTTGCATCCCTAATATATACAGTTGAAGTCAGAATTATTAGCCCGCCTGAATTATTAGACTGCTTGTTTATTTTTCCTCCAATTTCTGTTTAATGGAGAGCCGACTTTTTCAGCACATTTCTAAACATAATAGTTTTAATAACTCATTTCGAATAACGGTTTTATTTTATATTGTCATGATGACAGAAAATATTATTTGACTAGATATTTTTTAAGACACTTCTACACAGCTTAAAGTGACATTTAAAGGCTTAACTAGGTTAATTAAGTCAGCTAGGCAGATTAGGGTAATTAGGCAAGTTATTGTATAATGATGGTTTGTTTTGTAGACTATCGAGAAAAAAAATTGCTTAAAGGGGCTAATAAATTTGTCCCTAAAATGGTGTTGAAAAAATAAAAACTGCTTTTATTCTAGCTAAAATAAAACGAATAAAACTTTTTCCAGAGGAAAAAATATTATCAGACATACTGTGAAAATTTCCTTTCTCTGTTCAACATCATTTGGAAAATATTTTAAAAAGAAGAAATAATAATAATTCTGACTTCAACTGTATATATATATATATATATATATATATATATATATATATATATATATATATATATATATATATATATATATATATATATATATATATACACACAATGGAACATGAGTAGCTCTTGGCCACTTTCAGTTTTTAAAAGTGGCTTGCATATGAAAACTGTCGGAGACCCCTGGTCTAAAGAGAGAGATTATTTCTGTTTCAGTTAGTTTTTAGTAAGTCCACCTCCCTTAACTCTTGGTTTACACCCAGGAAGTGTGTGATTGAGCAGCCAGCGCTCTGCTAGAACAGTCCATTAGTGTGTCAGGATGGGCTCCAGTGCACTGGCTCTCCTTCTCTGTGAGTATTTGATCAGATTCTCCACTCTTCTGTTCTTTAATACTGTTTTAATCATTCAGCTGAAGATGAGAGAATGATTGTGCTGTATGTTCTTGTGTTTATTAGTCAGATTCAGTGCTGATGTGTGAAGTGTTGATCAGATACAAGCTTCAGAGATCAGCCATTTATCTGTGCTGTCAGTGTAGAATAGAGGTCGCTGGACAGCAACATCTGATTGATTTTGATTTATACTATATACACGTTGAGCAATTCTATTAATGAAGGACAATTTATTTAACCTCTGATATTTCTTTTCTGAAAATTAACAAATTGTAAAATAAATTAACATTATTATTATACTAAAAAAACATAAGTTACTTAAAATAATTCAAAATAAAGTATGCAGCAGCAACATTTTAATTTTGGCTAGTTTTAAAGAACAATTGTATTTTCAATTTCAATAAACTGTAAAATATTGTTAAAGAGAGACAGCTGGAGAGCCATGCATTTTGTTGAACAGCCACAAGTGGGCAAAGGTTCCCTGCCACTGGGATAAAGCAATCCAGCATTTTAGTCTTTATCCACATTTAAAAGTATTTATTAGAAATGAGTTATCCAAAGTGTCCCAAAAAGATTATTTTATGAATTATGAACTTCATTGATTGCACACTAAAAAAAAAGACAACAAACAATCAACTGCTCTTGTTTTTTAACCCAGGGATTGGATTTGTCTATTTGGCATACAATTGTTTGAGTAACCCAGCATTTCTAGATTCAACTTGCAGCTGCCAAAAAATTATGTTTAAGCTTTACTCAGTGCTGACTTCTTTTTCAGATGTGTTTTCTGTTAATTATAGTTAGTTGTCTCATCACTGATGAAGTCAGCTCATATAAATAATGCGTTTTTTAAAATACCCTTCATAGCCCAATCTACGAATCAAACAAATCCAATGATTTACTTGATTTTTGCATTATTATAACTCTGCACTAAAAAGAGGTTTTCATTTTATAGCTATAAAAATATAAAACATGTGCGCAACTCAATGCAATACTGTATGTAAATAATATATAATATGCTTTACATCTTTTTCTTAGAAGGCAAAACTACACATGCTTTTTTGCATGTATGCGCAAAGAGGATGCTTTGAACTTCCGGTCGGTAGAAAAAATATTTTTTGAAATTGTTGCAAATTTATTAAAAATAAAAAAGCTGAAAAGTCACATGTACATCAGTATTCACAGACTTTGCTCAATACTTTGTTGATGCACCTTTGGCAGCGATTACAGCCTCAAGTCTTATTGAATATGATGCCACAAGCTTGGCACACCTGTCTTTGGGAATGTTTGCCCGTTCCTCTTTGCAGAACCTCTCAAGCTTTATCAGGTTGAATGGGAGGCGACAGTGTACTGCCATTTTCATTTTCACATTTCCTGAGTTGTTGTGAAGCCACTCCATTGTTATTTTGGCGGTGTGCTTTGGGTCATTGTCCTGCTGGAAGATGAACCGTCACCCCAATCTGTGGTCAAGAACACTCTGAAGCAGGTTTTCACTCAGGATGTCTCTGTAGATTACTGCATTCATCTTTACCTCTATCCTGACTAGTCTTCCAGTTCCTGCTGCTGAAAAACATCCCCACAGCATGATGCTGCCACCACCATGCTTCACTGTAGGGATGCTATTAGCCTGGTGATGAGCGCTGCCTGCATTTCTCTAAACGTAACGCCTGGCATTCACTCCAAAGAATTCAATTAAGTTTCTTATGGTCTGAGAGTCCTTCTGATGCCTTTTGGCAAGATCCAGGCGGAGATTGGCTTCCGTCTGGCCACTCGACCATACAGGCCTAATTGGTGAATTGCTGCACAGATGGTTGTCCTTCTGTAAGGTTCTCCTCTCTCCACAGAAGAACACTGGAGCTCAGACAGAGTGACCATCGGGTTATTGATCACCTCCCTGACTAAGGCCCTTCTCGCCGATCACTCAGCTTAGATGGCCGGCCAGCTCTAGGAAGTGTCCTGGTGGTTCCAAACATCTTCAACTTACGATTGATGGAGGCCGCTTTGGTCATTGGAACTTTCAGAGCAGCAGAAATGTTTCTGTAACCTTCCCCCCCCCTTGTGCCTCCAGACAATCCTGTCTCGGAAATCTACAGACAATTCCTTTGTCTTCATGCTTGGTTTGTGCTTTGACATGCACTGTCACTGCTTTTTTATTTGTATTAAATTTGCAACAATTTTAAAAACTCTTTTTTATTGTCTTTATAGGGTATTGTGTGTAGAATGTTGAGGAAATAAAAGAATTTAATCTATTTTGGAATAATGCTGTGACACAAAAAATGTGTACAATGTGAAGCTATATGAATACTTTCCAGATGCACTGTATAATGGCTTTCTTTCAAAAAAAATGTCTTTCTTTCAAAATTAAAGTTTTGCAACTTAAGCCACTGAAAACAGCATTGCCACCTATAAATGCTACTCTGGCTGATGACAATTATTAATTGAAGTTCTAAGCACCCTACTGGAAGGCTCTAGTCACTATGGCACCCTCCATGCAGCAAAAAAAGGTCTCATGCTGCGTTCACACCAGAAATGGAACGCGTGGGATAAATCGCGGTATTTGCACGTAAATAGCCGCGTGAACATTTGAGTTTACTCGCTTCATACGCGCGTCAAACCCCGCTTCATTCGCGTGTCAAATTCACATCAGAACAGACGCGGATTCGCGTGATGGGCAGGGCTTCTGTCTGCCCGAAGACTCTAGCTTCATAGCTAAATGGCTAACATGGATTTTATGAAGAAAATAACAGTGTTTATGTGTTTTATGAAGACTGAAAAACATCTTCGATACGTTTAGGGTTGTGTCTGAGTCCACTACATTCTTTCAGAGGTGCATCCAGCTCTGTAAGCTTATAAACTCCTCCAGAAACTGAACCTGGATGACGGAGGCTTTCAGCGGTGCTTCTGACTGAGCAAAGCCGAGTTTGATGAACTGTTGTCGGTGAAGGCTGGAGGATTTCCCTCGGAACACCGACAACAGGTTCTACGTCACAATCACGCCCCCACAAGAGCAAGCTTCTGATTGGTTTTTGCGGTGCGAATGTACGCTGAAGTTCAGATTTTCGAAATCGAGAGGTTTGTGTGAAACGCTCATTAAGCGCGTCAAACGCCCAAAACGCTCAATTCGTTCTGCGCCTTTCGCGCAATTTGCGTCATTCGCGCCGCGCCATTCTCGCGTATCGCGCCGCAGGATGTCTATTCGCACGTTTGCATTGACTTAACATGTAAATCACTCGCGCTTGACGCGCCTGCCGCGTCTAATGTGAACGCAGCATAAAGGCTATACTTTTAAAAAAAAAGTCAACATATGTGCCTTGTCATTGTCTTAACACACGCATGAATCACAAGTGAGACGGAGGAAATGAAACAACAGAAGCTCAAAGGTAAAATCAAATGCTCAGGACATAATATTTTAACTAATGGCTTTTATTAAAAATGTTGACAGGTCTGTGATATAAGAATTACAGCGGAGCATTAATTACATTTAATTTAATGCATATTTTCATGGAGCAATTATTTAAGGGTAGCTTGCTATTTTTATTTGAAAAAAGAAAATATTCTAAAAAAGAATTCAGTCAGTTTTCTCATTTCGTAATCTAAATTTGTCATCTAAATGAAAATATCTACGGCAGACCTTTTTTTATTCTTTTTATTAAGTTTATTCTTTTTTCTATGCTGTTGGAAACAGCAGCTGTGTGAAGATGTTCTGTTCATATGTTCTGTATGCTGCTGTTCGCATGTTAAAATAAATCAGTGTTTTAAGATGCGATATTTAATGTGTCAGACACAAAATAGAGATGTTTTTTTTTATTGCATTAAATATGAATTTAATAGTAATCTGACCGGTTAATGGTTAATATTTAGTTAACGAGCTGCGGTTGTTGATTAAAAAATTAATTGAAAGGAGCATCCTTAAAATTAACGTTGACATGTTTGATGACATAAACAAAATGTGCTGCAAATCAGCGACACAGACAACACTGAGGCACTTAAATGTTGAGGATTGAGCTCACTGGCTGGAATAGCAAACAAACACCTGCACCATGTAGCTGAAGCAGATTGCTTTAGATTTCAAGAGTTCACACTTAGCTGATGATTGATAATAAAGCTAGTTTGGCGTGCTGTCCCGGGAGAGAGCCCTGAGCTTATAAGATCCTCGAGCCCTGGGCTCCCTCCCGTTGCAAGGCGAGAGGGGAGTTTGAGCTCAGGTAGATCTCAATGACTCCCCTTCTTGCTTGTTGTAGCTAAGTGTCAGATATGTATGCTGAAAGGTGTACTCAGAGTTTAGCTAATGTATTTTGATTAATTGTTTAGAGTGCTTGTTTTTGAACTGTGGGAGGAAACCGGAGGACCCGGGGAAAACCCACGCGACCACGGGGAGAACGAGCAAACTCAACACAGAAATGCCGTCTGGTTTGGAAAGGAATTAAACCAGGGGCATTCTTGCTGTGAGGCAACAGCGCTAATCACTGGCCACTGTGACGCCCGTTTGAAAGGAGGGAAAGTAGTGTTGGGTGGGGGGGTTTCTTCAAGACGAAGATATTGAGATGAGAAAAGTCTGGTTATTTATAGTGAGTTAAGGATCGTCTGATAGGATAATCAGTCATTAGCTAAAGTTGGAACAGCTGTGAACAATCATAAGCACGTGATCCTCTCGAAATTTGTTTATGAATAAACTTCACTTATCAGTCTGTCCACCCAATAAAGTTTTGTGACAGATCAATAATCAATTGATCAATTTTGTGACAATAAACAGTTTTATCTTCCAGTTTTATCTTCTATTCTGTTTCAATGATCTGCTTTGTGTTTCATAAATGCAAATGCATCACATCTGTGCTTCTGCTGCTTTCAGTGCTGATCTCCATCCTTCACGCTGGATTCACTCGAGGTACTGCAGTATTTTTTTTATTTAAATGTAAATGATGCTGTTGTGTCTGTGTACAGAGATACATCAAGATCCCACATTTGTCTCTTTGCTGATGTTTTGTATTTATGTTTAACTCCTCTCCACATTTTATATTTACATGTAGGCATTTAGCAGACAATTAACAGCAGTCTTTAAAGGGATCATTTTAAAGCCAAAGCTCTTCAAATGTACATTGTCCTGGTGTAGTCTAAACTAACAGGTGCACACTGGTAACTGCATTTGATTAAATATTATATAATATTATATAAGGAAAATTACATTTTGGAAACTAAAATTGAAAGTGACAGTGACAAAACCCCTGATATTCCATCACTTGGACAATAATATATAAACATTTATTGACTTTCAATGTATAAAATAGACCTTTTAAAAATCCATGACAGTCGAAAACCTAAGGAGTTGATGAACCGAGGTCCTGACTCTCTGAGGTCATTAAACAGAGGACTCGCGAGGTCTTAAAAGCATTGAACAAGTCTTAAATTTGATAATCTCAAATTAAGGTCTTAATAGACTTAAATTTGGTATACAAAGTCTTGGATTTCGTTAAAAAGGTCTTATTTTATTCATTTGTTTTTGCCTTTCCTAGGAATAAAGTTCATACCATAACAAAATTAACTGTTACTAATAGGGGTGTCACGATTTCGATTTTTAATCAAAATCGATCGAAATTTATGCTCAACTTCGATTATCGAATCAAAAAATAGAATCGTCGATGCTGCCACGCCGCCATATCACGTTAGCTTGGCTTGCCAAGTGGAAAAAAACATGCTTGTTGACTTGCTTGTTAAACTGCAGAAGCAGGAGACCCGTCGAGAGAACTTAAACCCTCTCCTCTTTCAATGAAGACGCCGGTGTGGAAGTATTTTGGATTTCCAGTTAGTAATGTTGACAACGTTCGTGTTGTCGACAAAAAAAACACAGTTTGCAAGCTCTGCTATGTACGTATTACAGTTGGGATGATAGACGATGGGCGCATCGCGATCCTCCGCCCCGCACCTGTTGCAAATCCGCTCGCGAAAAATACACACTCAGGCCCTGTTTACACTAATATGTCTTTGTTTTTAAATGGCATTTTAGAACGACAACGATCCACATCCACACCGGCGTGTAGAATTTTTGAGCAGCCCTCCTTCCTCACTACCGCTGAAAACGCACATCACTTGACCACACACACTCATTCACACACAGATACAGACGCACACACATCGTCATGCGCTCGAGACAGCGGGTCAAGGCAGTCAGCGGGTCAGTAGACTGCTTCCATCTTTTACTTTCACACAAGTACTTAGTCATTTTAACGAACACCTCAGATACTGTTGGCTGGTTTCTGTTGGTTACAGACACCATTATAACGACACAGATCACTGCCTATTCACGAGTCCCGCAGAAAAAAAGTGATTGACAGGTGGTAATTATGTGTGTATCTTACCTTTATTCATTTACTCTATGATTTGTTTATGGGTAAAACAAAGACCATGCAAGTCAGGTAGTTTAAACGGTAGGCTACAAATAATTAATTTGTTATTAATTAATTAATTATTCATAATCGAAAATCAAATCGTGACTTTAGAATCGAAAATGTAATCGAATCGAGGATTTGGAGGATCGTGACACCCTTAGTTACTAATGTAGGCTAATTAACATTGCTGCATTCATCTTTCCCTCTATCCTGACTAGTCTTCCAGTTCCTGCTGCAAAAAAACATCCCCAGAGCATGATGCTGCCACCACCATGCTTCACTGTAGGGATGGTATTAGCCTGGTGATGAGCGGTGCCTGGTTTTCTCCAAACGTAACGCCTGGCATTCACTCCAAAGAATTCAATTTTAGTCTCATCAGACCACAGAATTTAGTTTCTAATGGTCTGAGAGTCCTTCAGATTCCTTTTGGCAAATTCCAGGTAGAGAGTGGCTTCCCTCTGGCCACTCTACCATACAGGCCTGATTGGTGGATTGCTGCACAGATGGTTGTCCTTTTTTAAGGTTCTCCTCTCTCCACAGAAGAACGCTGGAGCATTCTAAATTAAAATTAAAATTAGGCTAATTAAAAATTCATGCAGCGTAACGTTGAGTGCACCTCGCGCTCCACGTCGGCAGAAAGTACGAAAGCTTGCATTACTGTGGTTACTAAGCAAATGAGGTGCAGAACAAGATAGTCGCTAGTCTAGTTTGTCGGCTAAAATGGGAAAGTGGTGGTTTAACCCGCTGTGGCCAAGGAATCTGAATTACATTTGGGTCAAGCCTGTGCCAGGAAATGAGCACGATGCCTACTGCTGCTGGTGCCGGAAATCTTTTAAGCTAGCGACGATGAGTGTTACAACCCTGGACTACCATATGAGGGGTGCCAAACAGTGCCTTACAGAGGTTTTCAAACTGCATCTATTACTAAATTCGGATCGGCTCTTTTTATTACTGAAGAACTGACCGACCAGGGGTGCAGAACTGCAGAAATCAGTATAAACAGCTGTCAATTTATTTATTTATTTATTTTATCAGAAAGAGTTGTTTCATTCAGTTTATTTTGTCTTTCTTGACAGGACACAAACCTACAGTGACTGTGACACCAGTCAGTGCTGTATTCACTGGAGAGACAGTCAATCTGACGTGTGTGATTGAGTCTTACAGTGACTGGACATATGAGTGGTATAAAGACTATATAAAGTTACAGTCTGATGGTCATTACCCTGTAAACAGAGACACTCTCACTATCAGAGGAGCTGCTGAGTCTGATCAGGGTCAGTACTGGTGTAGAGGACTCAAAAATGAAGGATCAACCGACTATTCAGAAGTTGTTCATCTCTCAGTGAAGGGTAAGGTGAATATCGTTGCCCTCCAAAACTTTAAAATTAAAATTTTAATAGCCAATCAACAGATTGTGGGTTTTACACAGCACACTCACGTCTCACATGGGTTGTGTTTTCTCTGGTGATTCTGGATTGTTACATCCTGTAGTGACGACCTTTAAGGGATATGGCCTTTACATAAAAAACTGCAATACAAAAACAGAACAATCTGTCATGTATAGAAATAAAACTCATCTATCATACTCATAAAATCATCTATAAAATCATAATCATATTTAGTAGGAATGATAATGTCACATTACATAAAAGTGAACCACAAAGGCAACACTTTTGAATTTCTATGTTTGTTAGTTATTATTAAAATACATTATTTGAAAATGCTGGCATGAATATTTTCTGATCTTTATTTGAATTTATTTATTGAATGGGATAGCCCTTTGAGATGAATCATCTCATTTTCAAGGGGGTCCCTAAAAAGTTCATAAAGCAAACAGAGTACAACACATCATAACGTAAATACACCAAACAACTAGGGTTGGGTATAGTTTGTTTTTGGGGTTTTTTCGATATCGATACTAAATCGATCCTTTTAAAACAATACATATACACGGTGTGTATATATATATATATATATATATATATATATATATATATATATATATATATGTGGCGCGAAGGGGGGGGGATAAGGCTTTTTGTTGGTAGCCAGACCAATACAATAACTGGCACACTGCGGCCGAATTAACACAACCTATTGCAATTAGAGCTCGACTACGCCACCCAGTACATTACCTGGGACAAAAAACACAGGTTCGTATCTCTGACAATAAGGGAATGAGACGTGGATGTAGAAAAATAGAGTTCCTTTTATTACAATGCACTTCTCATTGGACTACAAATATTAAAATGACAGGCACATGTGCTTTAAAAAGGCACTAGAAGGCGGTTACAAAATACAAAAAAACAAATCCTCATCCAACCGCAGGAACTGGGGCTTACTAAAGTCGGGCAGGCTAGGCACTGGGCCCGAGAATGACCCACAAATTCACACGTGCACACTCTTAGATTCCAAAAACACCACACAGTGAACTTCAATGCACACAAGTGAGCAAAAGACTAATACATCAAAAGAGCCACGCCACACAGCAGCCCGACTGCCCGTACTAGACACCCCCAGCTCCTAGGGAGAGAAGAAAACCACAATTAGAAAGGAAATAAAACATTTAAGAAAACACAATATTAAATGGGCTCAAAGGGGTATCAAAAACAGACTACTTAAGCAGCTACCAGCCGCCCAGGGGCACGGAGGTGACAGGCCCCCGCTAAAAAGAATCCCAAACAGTATGTAGTAAAAGTTAGAGCACAAGGTCACAATATTGGAACAGGACAACGCACCAGAATGCAGGTATAGAAGCAAAGCCAAGCAGTCAGTTAGACAACACTTGTTTTATGTGTTCCCATTTTTGTAAATGTAGAAAAAAAACAATCAAAACATATGCAAAACAAAAAAAACACTGATACAAAAGCACCGAAAATAAATAAACGACAAAACAAAAAGCAATTAACAGAAACAAAAGAGAATCAAAACTGAATTAACAGAAACAAAACAGAATCAAAACTAAATTAACAGAAACAAAACAGAATCAAAACTAAATTAACAGAAACAAAAGAGAATCAAAACTAAATTAACAGAAACAAAACAGCAGCATCCAGTAGGTGTCAAGGGCAGGTGAAGACGCTCAATCCACAGTGCAATCGCTACACGAGATGCCAGTCATCCCTCCGGCAAAGCCAGGCGTCCGTACTAATAACTAACTAGAAAATATAACAGAAATCAGTTTCTACTCCTAGTAGTTTGATATGCACAGAATGTACGAGCGGTAGCGCCCTACTTACCGATTGGGAAGACAGCAGTCGCGGGAACGCGCATAAGTGTCAACAGAATCACGAGGGAGAGTTCAGCTCTAGGAAACGCGACTTCTCAAAGCTCACAACGCCTCACAGTAGCCACTCTATGGTGCAACAGCAACCGAACAGACACCAGCCTTCCAGAGCAAGAAAAACTGAATCAAACCCAACACAATTTGAAACGAAAGCGAAAATAAGGCTTAAACAGCCACTACATACCAAACGCACGGCAGTTACACACCCACCACAGGGAGTCAGCTGGACGATGACGCAACTTCCACTATTCTCCGCCAGGCTTTTATACACCTCTTAACCCGCAGTTAGTAATGGGCGTACACCAAGGCTTAATGCAAAACATCTGCTACATATATATATACACACACACACACACACAGTAGGTGAGAGTTCGAAGTGGCTTTTAATGCCGCAGCATATACCGCTGCCGTTTGAAATGGGTGCCGCTCTGTTTCTGCCGCAGTTTGTGAATGAGCCGCCAGGGGGCGCAAAGGGACAGGATGCGAACGGACAGAAATAGCCCATACAGCAGCTTTAAATATGCTACTGTGCATGTAAATGATATTAAACAATAAGTCAAAGCATTATAATTCCTTCATTAATCATTTAAAATTTGTTAACATGCTTTACTGTAAACTTTAAGTGCAAAGAGGATTCGTTTTCGAAAATAGAATTGAAGAAGTAAAAGACAACTAAATGAAAACATTTAGTACAAATAAGTAGTCTTAAATAAATAAATAAATAAAGCAGCCTAAATATAGAAAGATGTTCAGTGTTTGAACATCTTAGACAAGACATTTTTATTTATGTTTTATACATATTTTTTTTTTATTTTATGCGTACAGAAGCTGATCTATGATCAGTTTATTGTACAGAGCGCGTCTGTCAGTCAGCGCTTATACATGCATTCACTGGTTCAGAGGTTGCAAAGTGAAAGGCGACGATCGACGCACAGTAATGTAAAGAAAGTAGGGTAGAATAGTAAAATACGGGAGAATTTCGTCAAAAACGGGAGGGTTTACATGAGTGAAGTGAACAGGAAGTGTTTGTGGAGAAACAGTTTTGCGAGAGAACGCAAAACATCTTTGCGAGATAACGCAAAACTTTGCGAGAGAACGCAAAAACAATATTTTCCTCCCCACCCATTTTTTTCTTTCACCCATTTTTTTTTTTTCACCCAGCCATTTTTTTTCTCCTCCACTACGTCGCTTCCGGGGTTCTGTAGAAGGGAGATTGTTCCAGTCGGAAAAATGTATTAATAAGGATGATCACTATACTGTTTTCTGTGTCTATAAAATACAATACAGCACAGCAATATTACAGCACAAATATTAAACTGAGTAAATGAGGGTCAGAGGTGTTTGAGGACCAAAAAACAATAAGGACAAAACTATAGACAGCACTAAAGAACAGAGCAGATATAGTGAAACAACAGAGAAAATCATTAATATTAGATAACAAAATGTTAGCTTAACAAAATTGTGTTTTTGTCTTCCTCCTCAGCTTCACCCAGATCTACAGTGACTGTGACACCAGACAGTGCTGTATTCACTGGAGAGACAGTCAATCTGACGTGTGTGATTGAGTCTGATCACAGTGACTGGACATATGAGTGGTATACAGACAGAAACAGTGTAAAGTTACAGTCTGATGGTCATTACACTGTAAACAGAGACACTCTCACTATCAGAGGAGCTGCTGAGTCTGATCAGGGTCAGTACTGGTGTAGAGGACAGAGATCTGAAAGACCAAACTCATCACAATCAACCTCTGCTGTTAATCTCTCATTGAAGGGTGAGCTGAATATTATTTTCATGAACTCATAACAGAATAACACTGAGTAATGCACACAACAGTGAAGCAAGACTGAGCATTAATGGAAGCATTGCTTATACTGTATAGTGTTTGTAACGTGCTGCAGCCGTGTGTGTATAACCTCATGATCTTTACCTTTTTGGTATGTTTGAATGTTCACACATCTTAGGCTGATCGGCCTCTGTTTTGGTGTTCGATCTGATCCTGACAGACTACAGGCTCTATTTTGACGGTCCATGCGCAAAGCGCAAAACGCAGGGCGCAAACGCTTTCAGGGCGTGTCAGAACGTGTTTTTGCTAATTTAAGGACGGGAAATCTGCCTTGCACTTCGGCGCATGGTCTAAAAGGGTTGAGTTTATTTTCTTAATGAGTTATAGGTGTGTTTTAAGAATAAACCAATTAGAGTCTCTTCTCCCATTCCCTTTAAGAGTCAGCTGCGTCACGCCAAGAGCGCATTCGCTATTTACAGGACACAAAGTAAGTTTAAGTGGAAAAAATTAGCATTTCACTAGCAAACAGTTGACAGTTTTTTTTAACAGAAAACTGTTAAACAGAGCATCTACTGCGTGAGAATGAGAGATAATGGAACTACTTTCACTTTCGCTCTTGGATAGGGAAACCTTTACGCACAGACATCAATTAGTCTATAAATAAATACTTTTGTTTGTTAAGCGCAAATATTCGTTTCAAAACTATTTCTAAATTCAGTTCTAATTTCCAGCAAACTAATAAATGAACAATAATAACAAAGTGTGCTCAAAAACCTGAGTTATATCCTAAAACACATGCTGTGCCCCATATGGTCTAAAACCTGACAGGTGGGCAAATCTAAGCTTGTTTTTAATAAAACAAATATAAATATGGATATAATAAATAATACTGCTAATAATAATAACATTATACAAAAGCAAATTGTTATGAATGAACTGAAAAAGCCTCCCGAGATGAAGAAGACATAAAAGCAGCGATTTTTCATATTTACGAGGCTAGAAAATAATATGTTTTGTGATATTTTAATCCTTTATATTTATATTCTATATCTATTCTTATTATATCCTATATATATCCTTAATATTTACATTTTTTCATATGTAAAGATATTTGCCTATTGCTCTCTTGTGCGTATTAAGCAGTGCGTAAGCGAGGCGCAACTCTGCGCCAGAGTTTAGACCGGGTTCGTTTTGGTCTAATGAAAAATCTATTATAGTTTCCCAAAATAGCAACGCGCCAGCGGTCCACCTCAGAACGCCTTCCTGTTTAGACCAGAACGCCTATGGGCGCACATATGAGCGCTAATGCATTTGCTATTTAAACAGTTTAGCGCAACACCTCAAAACGACTCTTGCGCCCAGCTGAAACCACCAAAAGACTATTGCGCCGCGCCTTGCGCCACACTGCGCCGGGTGTAAGATAGGGCCCTAAATCTGAAATGACAACAACAAACTTAAATGTATACATGCTTTATGATTTCAAAACTGGTGATTAATGCACAGGTAGTCCAGTGGGGCACAAGGAGGTTGTATGAATTCACAAAACTGCTGATATGAGTTATTTAGCCATATATTCAGACTAAAAAGATGTGTGTTGTGTATGGTGTTGCGATTCTGGAGAGTTCTGCTGATCCTGTGATTGAGGGAGAAACTCTGACTCTACACTGTTTACATCGATCTACAATCTCCTCCATCCTCACAGCTGATTTCTATAAAGACGGATCACTGATCCAGAATCAGACAGGAGAGATGAGCATCCCTACTGTCTCAAAGTCTGATGAGGGTTTCTACTACTGTGAAACAAAGAGAGGAGAGTCGCCGCACAGCTGGATCTCAGTCAGAGGTCTGGGAATAATGATAGATTATTTACCTCTGTAATATTATCATACAGCATGTGCTTTATGAACAGGTCTGCCATCTTCTCTCTTCAGCTTTATCTTCATCTCCTCTTGTCGTTGGTGTTTCTGTGGGATTGACTGTTTTCTTGCTCCTCATCTTACTGGTTCTGCTGCTGAGACACAAGAAGAAAAGAGGTGTGAGGAGTTTAGAACATGATCAATAACATGAATGCATGTAATCAGATATATGAAAATGCATTAATAATGAGATTACTTTCTACTGTAGATCAGGACCGTAACAACCCAGTTCCAACTCGATCTGGAGAATATCAACTTGTAAACTTTCCTCTACAGTCTGGTCAGCTTCATTTTTGCTTCATTCTTTTATTTTGGAATGTTTTTTTTTTTGTTCACACAATATATTTCATTTTGATCCATTATTGTTTAACAGCGACCTTTAATCTTTTGACCTGCCTCCTTATTTATATCAATTATTATCAACACATTATTTGTTCATGTTGTTTGTTTTAGAGCCCGTGTCAGATGTGACATATTCAGAGGTCGTTGTTAAGAAACAGCAATCCATGGATAAAGGTGAAAATCCTCTTCTGTACACATGTAGTCATCAGTCATGAACCAATGAACAATGAACACTGATGAGGAATTAAAAATACACATTATCCACTGATTAATTCATTATTATTTCTGCAGCGGACATCATGCCGGAGTCAACTAATGTGACATACTCAGAAATCAGGTAAAACGTGGACAAAGGTGAATTCCTGTTTAGTTTTTTCTGATGTATAGACCTTTTTCTTGGAATGCAAAATTACCCATGATGCTTTGCGTGTATGCGCAAGGAGAATGCGAAAAACTTCCGGTCAGCAGCTGATGCATGTAAACAGTCACATTTGGACAGCTTTGAAACAATAGTTTTAATCTATTTTACCTGCTTTTATCCTCTTTGAACTAATACTGTTGTCCATCAGCACCATCTCCTGGACTGATCATTTAGAGAAATGCGATCTAATAGGATGGAAAACAGCTGCTGTGAGGCGTTTTCCCCTCGTTGTCAGACGGCATCTTCTGCAGTTTAAATGAAGCCTCGTCATCGCTAAAGTCAACATTTTCTCTTTATTTCAAATATATAACCAGCCCAAACTAATGTAATTCACCAAAATGTTTGACACACACACGTAGCCTGTACTGTGCCACTGACACACTGATTTAATAACTGTGACAAAGTGAAAATATAGGCTAGTGTCATTTCGAAATGACAGAAAAACACACACCGTGGTTAAAACAACACACGAAATAAAACACAAACAGCTCGCGATTAGAATGAACAGCAAATCAGCCAGCAGAGGATCAATAACAGACTTTTATTGGTCATTTTTGTAAATTGCACGACTTTCATACCTGTTAAGTTTCATGCCAGTACTCTGGTTTGCCCTCTCTCTCTCTGTGTGTGTGTTAAAGAGCCGCTGAGCTAACAGCTGACAGGCCGGGAACGCACAAACACACTGTATTTCTGACGGCAGACACGTGAACTAGGAGAACGTTTTTCTCGTATTTTTGACGCGCTTGAACCACATGTGACAGATTATAACGGCTTTAACACACACATTTCTAAGTTGTGTGTCACAAAAACACTCTGTTATCCATTAAAAACGTTATTGAAACCCATTTTCGGAGCGCAAATTACCAGTTGTAAACGCTGTAAACGGAAGTTTTTAGCATTCTACCGGAAGACGCTGGTCGCTATGGCGCCCTCCATGCAGCAGCCATGAAAAAGGTCTATAATAAGTCCAACATGTTCTGAATATCCTGCTTGATTTTCTGTTTCAGATATTAATTCTGCAGGTCCCAGTGATCTGATTTATACAGAAATCAACATAAAGGACAAAAAGAAAACCAAGAGCAAAGATAAACACACACACTTCATCTAGTCTTGATGATTTTTTTGTTTACTGATGTTATGATTTAATAAAATCAGGAAAAGAAACACTTTATAATCACTAACAGCACTGACAGACACAATATCACACTTTAATCTGCAAATGCAACAACAACAATGTCAAAAAGAGTGCAATATCACAGCCATCACCCAGTAGATGTTCATATGTCGAGTGAATCATGCATCCAGTCAGCCTCTGTCAGCCAAGCTACTAGAAGTAGGATACACAGAATCAATACATCTGTTAGCCAGCACACCATTTTGGGGATTTAAACCTACCTAACTTTATATAGTAACAGTAAACAGTAATAGTTAAATAGTAACAGTTCCTGACTCCAGTAAGCTAAAAACACAAGCTTTCCAATGGAGCGGGTCACTGAAAAAAGTGTTGCATGCAGACCTGTTGCAAACAATTTATTTGTGTTGAATTTAAACAAATGAAATTTAATAATGTACAACTTAATTTGTTTGTTTAAATTCAGCCCAAATAAATGATTTACTACCACTTAACGTGGCAGGTTTTATCCTTCATACATGTTGAGAGATCGAGTTGATTGACTTGATATGGGAATATGTCTTGACATAACCTACACAGACGTGACTTGGTAAAGTATTTTTTAGCCAAGCTCTGAGTACACCATCTCAGCATCAATATCTGATGAGTCATCAAGATCTACCTGAGCTCAAACTCCCGAGAGGGAGCCCAGGGCTCGAGGATCTTAAAAGCTCAGAACTCTCTCCTGGGACAGCATGCCAAACAAGCTTTATTACTAATCATCAGCTAAGTGTGAACTCTTGAAACCACAAAAAAATGTATAGACAAATAAAGCAAAATAAACAACATATATATATACTCAGATAAAAGCATATGCAGTTGAGGTCAGAATTATTACCCCCCTGAATTATTAGATCACTTGTTTATTTTTTTCCTTAATTTCTGTTTAACGAAGAGCAGATTTTTTCAACACATTTCTAAGCACAATAGTTTTAATAACTCATCTCTAATAACTGATTTATGTTGTCTTTGTCAAGATGGCAGCTATAATATTTGACTAGATATTCTTCAAGATACTTCTATACAGCTTAAAGTGACATTTAAAGGCTTAACTAGGTTAATTAGGGTAACTAGGCAGGTTAGGGTAATTAGGCAAGTTATTGTACAATGATGGTTTGTTCTGTAGATTATCGATAAAATATATAGCTTAAAGGGGCTAATAATTTTGTCTTTAAAAAGGTGTTTAAAAAATTAAAAACTGCTTTTATTCTAGCCGAAATACAACGA